CTTTTCTGCCTCATGAATTGGTTTTTCTCGTGGTGAGGGCTGGTGTTGTGTGGAGAGGCCCCCGGATCCGAGATCTGGTTGGAATGGAAGAGACTATACTGCAGCCCTGCTGTTGAGTGAAGCGTGGCCCTGGGAACTTGGTGGCTTCCAGCCTTTCCACAGATTCAGTCTAGACATGGTAGCCATCATGTCAGGTATCTGGTGGAGCCCCTTACTGTGGAGGCCTGTGTGCACTGCTTTCTGAAGCAGTAAGGTGTCTCTCCCTGTGTCCCCAGTGCTGTTCCACTGACGGTGGAGTAGCCTGGATGAAGCCCTCCCCCACGTGGCTCGGGGCCCATCTCTGTTACCGTCCTCTGCAGGTCTGCTAGGGAGCCACTCCTCAAAACTGCCTCTGCATTCTTTGAATCTTTAGTGTGTAAACGTGCCAGGCTCATGTCGGTAAAGCTTTTTGCTTCATGAAATCTCATTTCCCCCATTGTCCTTTGTTACAAAAGCTCTAAGTTCCTCAAATTAACATTCGTTCTTAGAAACACTTGGAAATGTTCTCCATTCTTGTTAGATTAACCCCAGTGACTGAGTGGTTTCTTGCACAAAATAATTATTTCCTAGCCCCTGTTGCTTAGTTCACTCGCAGAGACTTCAGGAAAGGGCTTGGCTTCTCTGGCAGTTTCACGCAGCTCTTGTGTCCTTACCACTGGGAACTGAGGGAGAATTCCTCAAGGACAGACACCAGGGCTCCTGCTTGGTCCCTGACAACAGCAGCTTTGCCTGTTCAGGTCCATCGTTGGGCCTTGAGCGGGTGCGAGAGAGGCAAGGCCTGTGGGTCTGCCTCAGCACCCACACCCATTCAGTCATAGCAGCTTTGATAGTGTATCCTGTTGGTTAGTAAATTCTCAGCACCTCCAGAGCCACCTCCTGGCTCAATGCCTAGGCTGATACTTGGGCACAAGGTGTTCAGAAATAGTTGAGTAATGTAATAATATGACCCTTGAGAAAGTATGGTGGTGGTAAGAGCACTGACTCTGGAGCCAGATTCCCTGGGCTTATACCTGCCACTTACTAGCTCTGTGACCTTGAGCAAGCTACCTTACCTTGCCTTCATTTCCCCATCCGTAAAATGGAGATATATCAACTTCATAGGGTTATTTTGACATTAAACTTGTGGAATAATGCCTAACAAAATTCAGTAAGAGTTCATTATTACTGTAACAACATTCTGCTCAGTTTTCTTACTAACTTGCTCCTTATGTCATTTACCTTTGCCGTGGGAGCCGTGCAGCAGCAGTGTGCTTATATCAGCAGCGTGAGGGCAGGTGGCCTTGGTCTGGGATGTGTGCGGTGCAGTCCAGCCTGTCCCCATTTCTTGTGTCTCCTCCTCTGAGGCCCGAGACTCACCTTGCGCTCTGGGGATGGGGTTTGCTGCCTCTGGCTCCAGTGTGATGCATCTCCTTTGTTTCTGCAGGACAACATCTGACATGAGCAGAGTGTTCTGTGCACAGTGTGGAAACAAGACACTGAAGAAGGTGTCTGTGACCGTCAGCGACGATGGAACCCTGCGCATGCACTTTTCCCGCAACCCTAAGGTGCTGAATCCTCGGGGCCTCCGGGTGAGTGGCGCATCTCCCGCTCCCCTAACAGCAGGGCCCAGGTCGGGGAAGCGAGACCTTTTATCACCAGGATCGAAATGATCAGAGAGGACAAACAGACCCTCCTGGTTTCTAAAGATAGTTATTGAAAGCCTGTGATCCAGGGACCAAGGCAGGTGGGGAGAGCTCACAACTCAACCTCCCTGTGAGGTTTTTGAGGAGTTTGCAGTCTAAGGAGAAATAACCAGTAATTCCACACGGTAAAAAGCAAGGGCCAAATATATGTGGGGTCAAAGAGGGATGGTTTGCAGGACGGTGGAGGATGGATTTGTGTGGGAATTTGAGGATGGGTAGAATGTCTAGAAGCTTCAAGAACCACAAGGGAAGGTTGTGTAAATACTCAGCACAAGAGAGTCCTGGGCTGGATACACAGTGGGGTGGATTTGTTTTGAGGAATCAGGAGAGAAGGGTTGACAGGCAGGCAAGTATGAGTGTGGCTGACCTGGCTCTGAGTTCTCCAGGTATGGTGCATGCCACTAACGTTAGAAAGGTTGTTTTTTTTTTTAACTTTCTATTTTGAAATAATTTTTTTAATGGTATCTTGTAGTTTTTTTTTTTAATAAAAAGTTGCCAAAAATAGTACAAATAATTCCCATTTAGCTTTCACTTAGATTTCCCAATTTAATCATTCACTATATTTGCTTTATCATTTATATTTTTTCTTTTCCCCTAAACCATCTGAGAGTAAATTGTGCATGACGCCCTTTTGCACCTAGATACTTCAGTGTGTGTTTCCTGAAACAAGGACTTCGTCTTAGATACCCACAATACAATTACCAAAACCAAGAAGTTAACATTACTTCAATACTATCTAATCTATGAACCATATTCAGACTTTTTTTTTTTTTGAGTTTATTAATTAATTTATTTATTTTGCTGTGTTGGGTCTTCGTTTCTGTGTGAGGGCTTTCTCTAGTTGTGGCAAGCAGGGGCCACTCTTCATCGCGCTGCGCGGGCCTCTCACTATCGTGGCCTCTCTTGTTGCGGAGCACAGGCTCCAGACGCACAGGCTCAGTAGTTGTGGCTCATGGGCCTAGTTGCTCCACGGCATGTGGGATCTTCCCAGACCAGGGCTCGAACCTGTGTCCCCTGCATTAGCAGGCAGACTCTCAACCACTGCGCCACCAGGGAAGCTCCAGACTTTTTTTTTTTTTCTGGCTGTGCCACGTGGCACGTGGGATCTTAGTTCCCCAACTAAGGATCGAACCTATGCCCCCTGCATTGGAAGTGCAGAGTCTTAACCACTGGACTGCCAGGGGAGTCCTTAGACCATATTCAAACTTTGCCACAGATTTCTTTTACAGCAAGAGAAGGGGGTTTGTTTGGGGTCCAGGATCCAGTCTAGGATCACATGTTGCATTTCACTGTTGCATTTCATTGTCCTATCTCCTTAGTCTCTTTTAAACTGAAGTAGTTTCTCAGGTCTGCTGTCTTTCATGACCTTGACAGTTTTGAACAGTTTTGAAGAGTACAAAGCAGTTACTTTGTAGACTCTCCTTTACCTTGGGTTTGTCTGGTGTTTCCTCCTGGTTAGATTCAGGCTGTGTCCAATTTACTGCTGATAATAACTTTGATCACTTAGTTGGAGGTTTCTTGTGTAACCACAATATAATTAACAAAACCAAGATTACCAAATTTCCTGTAAGGTTATTATCCGTGATTAATAAGTAACTTAGAGAAAGATAGTCTGATACTGTGTGAATACTGTTTCTCATCAAACTTTTACTGGTTAAAGTCATCTGAATCAGTTTTTACAATGAAGGTTGCCAAATGGTGATTTTCTAATTGCATCATTTCTTCTCCATATTTATTACTTGCCATTCTGCTGTAAAGAGGAACTTTCCTATATATCATTTATATGATTGTGGTCGCATGTATTTTTATTGTAGTCTGTAGGCTGTGATCCAGCTATGCTTATTTATTTTGATACTCAAACTGTTCATGGAGCCCCTTCAGGATGGCTTCTGTGTCTTTCTGATGTGCCCCAGTTATTCTTTGAACAATTTTACTTTCTGGCACAGCAAGCTGTTCCGACTCTTATACCTCCCTGCCTGTGCCCTGGAATCAGCCATTTCTCTAAGGAGCTCTTAAGTTTTTAGAAGCAAAGATCTGGGCACTGGACAGTGGGTATGCTTATTGTCCTAGGGTGGCATTAATTCTAGGTCCACAGTGGACAAAGATGGGAAATATTATATATAAATACACATATTAATACTTTTTCTCTTATCTGTATTAAAAATTGAATTTATAACTTCAGATTCAGTTCAACACCAGAGTTCATTCTAGCCCTCCCTCTAATATCCATAACACCCTTCATAACACCATTTTCCGTAATTATAATTTTGTTCAACTGGAGTGTGTGTGTGTGTGTGTGTGTGTGGTTATTTCAGAAGTGCTAACCTATACCATTATGAAAATGGTACCTGCCTACTAGGGTTCTGTGTTTTAGTGTAATTTTTTCCGTCTTTTGTTGAGGGAATGTAGTCACAATACCGTGTTGCTTTTCATCTGTAAGGTGAGAGTAGGCTCAAGTGGGAAGATGCATGTCATGTACTCAGTGCACAGTAGGCAGTGACGATAGACTCCGTTGGTGTCGTCTGCCTGCGTGCAGAGTTGTCAGGTAAGCTTTACGTAACAGGATCTGATGTGTATAAATACGAATCCCCGTCCTCCTAATGGCCTTTCCTCATCTTATTTGCAGTATTCACTCCCCACTCCCAAAGGGGGCAAGTACGCCATCAACCCCCACCTGACCGAGGACCAGCGCTTCCCTCAGCTGCGACTTTCCCGAAAGGCCAGGCAGAAAACTGACGTGTTTGCCCCTGACTACATAGCTGGGGTGTCTCCCTTTGCAGAGAATGACATCTCCAGCCGGTCAGCTACCTTGCAGGTCCGAGACAGCACCTTGGGAGCCGGCAGGAGACGGTTAAATCCCAATGCTTCCAGAAAGAAGTTTGTGAAGAAAAGGTGAAGCATGAGCTCCACAGGCAAGCTGGACTGATGCTGTGACTGCCCAGGAGACCCATGTCTCAGGTCCCCAGCTGTGCCAACTCCACAACCACTTGGACACAGAAGAGGCCTGGCTTCCATAGTGCTGCCCCAGGACTCACTGTGGTGCCTCGGGTTGGGTTTGTGGTGGAACCCGCCATCCCTTGGCCTGTGTGTATCCAGGAGGTTTATGTGAACATTGTGACCTGACCTACTTGGACATGGACAGCTGCAAGAGCAAAGGATTCCAGCACCAAGAAGTTTGCAACAACCAGCCACACCCCTTCCCTCTTTAGTATAAAAGAAGCCTGAATTCTGACTCAGGTAAGATGGTTCTTTGGGACAGGAGTCCACCATCTTCTTGGTCTGCTGGCTTTCCGAATAAAGTTGCTGTTCCTTGCCCCAACAACTTGTCTCTTGATTTATTGGCCTGTCATGCGGTGAGCAGTATGAGCTTGGACTCAGTAACTCCTTCTACCTATAAAAGTCCTTTATTTTGTACAGCTCCTTGGAGCTCCTTTCTTTGTGCTAGATGGAATGCTGCCTGATTCATGAATCATTAAATAAAGCCAATAAGAGCTTTAAAATTTACCCAGTTGAATTTTGTATTTTAAGTTTTGGTAGTAGTGGTGGGATCTGAAGACTCCTGATGACTTCATAGACAACAAGAAATACACGTGTTGATATCCACAAATGCTTTGAGTTCTTTTTTTTTTTTTTTTTGGCCAGGCTGTGCAGTATGTGGGATCTTAGTTCCCTGACCAGGGATTGAACTTGTGCCCCCTGCAGTGGAAGTGCAGAGTCTTAATCACTGGACCGCCAGGGAAGTCCCTGAGTTCTCTTTCTTTGTCACTGTTTCTGAGGGCCGTGGGTAAGTTCCTCTTGATACGAACTCCACTCTCTACATTGAGCTCCTGGTCTAATTGGCTTTCCAGTCCAGGATTTATGGGTTGGTCTAGACTGACAGGAGTCTCTAACAGAGCACCAGTCCTTAGCCCTTGGTTAGTCTGTGGTCCCAGGACACAGCTTAATGGGTCAGTTTGAGCTGACACCTGGAACCCAAGTCCCCAGCTCTCAGTTAGTCTGAGGGCTCAGTTAGTCCCCACCCCTTTTTTATTTAAATTTATTTATTTTTAGCTGTGTTGGACCTTCGTTGCTGCATGCGGGCTTTCTCTAGTTGTGGCAAGCAGGGGCTACTCTTCATTGCAGTGCGCGGGCTTCTCATTGCAGCAGCTTCTCTTGTCGCAGAGCACAGGCTCCAGGTGCGCGGACTTCAGTAGTTGTGGCACGCAGGCTCAGTAGTTGTGGCTCATGGGCTTTAGAGCACAGGCTCAGTAGTTGTGGCGCATGGGCTTAGTTGCTCCGCGGCGTGTGGGATCTTCCTGGACCAGGGCTCGAACCCCGTGTCCCCTGCATCGACAGGTGGATTCTTAACCATTGCGCCACCAGGGAAGCCCATTAGTCCCCTTTTGTTGGGTTCTGCTGGTTCGGTCTGTAGTTCCACTTTGGGAACCATTTGTGATGAGCACCTAAGGCCTTCTCTTGGCCAGTCCACAGTGCCATCTCCTTGGTTACTGCAGTGTCCACAGTTCCGTTTCCTTGGTTACTGTTGGTTTCTGTTAATGTGCATATGGGGTAAAGGAATAATAGATCTATTGTTAATGGGCATCTTGAAGCCAAAACCACAAAATTGGTGGGCACAGGTTGAGCACTTAAAAGCTGATAGAATGCTCGCCATCTAACTGTAAGAATCCTGTGTTAAGATAAATTGGTCATGGAATGGGATAGGTCAACACTAGGTCACCTGCCACCTCAAGAAAATTTCCATACAATGAAGTATATTGTAAAACACCACAAAATCCCCAGACCCGTGGCACATCCCTCTTAGGTATTAATTTGGCTCCAAGAGACCCAAGGCTTAACTAAAGAAATGAGATCTTCACGTTTCAAAGAACTGAGCCTGCACCACCTGGCACAACTGCTTGTTTTATGTTTAAGAACTGTGGTCCCAGAAGCTGTAGATATCTACTAAAATGGCAAAATCTTACTAAGGCAATTTAGAGTTGCAATGGCCATTATGGGCAATGTTCTAATTACACAAGTTTGTTCACTTTACGAAGTGCACTTGAAAGAATGGAACACTTATTTTAAGTGGTATGCAGAAGGCTTGGAAAGGCTTTAAGATTCCAAAATAACTTCACTGAAAGAGTCATTGCAAAAGGCTAATGAAAAATTAAAGGTGCAGTAGGTACTTAAAACAAAAGACTTTAAGACGGAGGTAGCTTCTACTACTCCTCTCTATCCTCCTTTCCCTGAGTACTCAGTCTATTAGTCCTCTATCTGAATTGCCTTTCCACTCTGAATAAGCTATAAAACTGTAACAAAAGTCGACCAAGTTAGTGACCTCACAGCTGCAACCAGTTCCAAGACCAGAAACCTGAAACACCTGGGACTCCCTCACTGCGCCCTCCTAGGGGTCCATCAACAAAACACTGGCCCAGAATTGGTGTCTCATTTGCAATCAACCAGGACACTGGAAAAAAGATTGTCCTCAAAGGTTTTTGTCAAATCGTTCTACACCAAATTGAATGGCCCCCGTATCCACCCTTGAAGGAGGCCCCCAAGAGGGTGCCTCCCATGTGGATGGGACTCCAAGGGATTCTCTGGTAAACTCTACCAGTTATTCCCTTAAATATCCAAGGGGAAACTAAAATTAAAATTGGCAAAAAACCTTGCCAAATTCTGGTAGATACCTGGGCTACATTCTCTAATTTAAGCCCCATCTGCCCTGGAGCCTGCAGATGGGATCCTGGGAAAACTGACAGAAGTTGGCAAAAGATGAGAATTCTTACAAGAGCCAACTCTCCTGGATCTGTGTAGTGCCCAGTCAAGAGAGGAAGGTAAAAGTCCACATTGTCCCTTCCTTTCCAAATTTAGACTCTCATGAATTTGGTTTTGAGGTACCCAATGGTTACTGATCTTTCTCTCTCAGGGACAGCTATTGCCTTCTCATTTGTCTTGTTTTGTCCTGTGAACTTGGCTTGGCTTTCTGTCTGGTTGTCAGTCCTTGCATAAGCAGGAAACTCAACCATCAGGTTGGGCGCCCCAAAATATGACTGGGCAGAAATGTGGGTTTCACCCTGTTTTCAGCTAGACATGGCCAGACAGATGTGGGTTGCACTCCATTTGCAGTGAGGATCCTACCGACTATTGGCAACTCTCAAGAGAATTGTCTTTATTTGGGCTGTCTTTGGGAAGGTTCTGGATCTTGGGGAATGGAGGGAGGAGTACCCTTTGCACACTCTTTGGAGACTCCTCTTGTATCCAAGTGGTTGTTTAATACTGACAGGAATATTTACTCTCTGTGCTGGCTGAAACCTGACAAAATATTTGAAAGGATTGTTTCTTTTTTTTTTAAGCAGCGCTATGGTCAGAATTGGCCAAAACAGAAGCTGATATTCAGATCCTGATAGGAATTTTGTGAGTGTTTTTTTTTAAGGCCTTTTCCGCTAAGCTAAATGAAACTATGTACCCAGGGGGAAAGAAAAACATCCCAAAGACAAACAGCTCTAAATCTAGAACATAGGAATCTGGGAACCTTTTGATTTCCATCTTAGTTGAAGAGCTTCTTCTTGCTATGAAGAAGCAAATTAAAGATAATGTAGTTGGACGGGTGGATCCAAACAAGTTGCAACCCAGTTTTTCCAGGAATTAAAAACAACTGTCCTTGTATTGAAGATTGGGTCTTTACAAGAACTGAAATGCAGCTCTAGAAGCAATTCAAAGCCCACCTTTCCTTTCTACCAATTCCCAAACCTCCCCTATCCATCTTAAAAGACTTGTAGATATTGTAAAGCATCTGGACTTAGGGAACAAAAGTCTTTCTTGGTGAAACTTACATTCTTTCTCTGTGCCTTTTGAGATGGAAATGTTCTACCTAGTTCCCTCTAGGAACCAAGGTAATTCTTATCAGAAGCGGGGGAAAAAGGTTATTTGAAAACTAGGCCCATGAAAAATCTTAAAAATCTTCACCACAAGTATTACTGAAAAGCTTTAGGTATCTAAGCAGGACACCTTAACTTATTCCATCTGCCAGAAATACAATTTGGATCCAACTGTTCTATTTTAAACTAGTAAATTTTGCATTATTGTACCTGTCCCATAGCTAAAATTATAAAATGAAACCTATAAGACCCTATTTGCATCTGTATGTTTATGTATGTCTATATGTTATAAATGTGTAATTTTTTTCTACCTCCAGATGGTATTTGTAAAGAGTTCTATTCAAGTTCATGTGGTCTAGGATAATCTTTGGTAAATAAAAGCTAGTTTGTTTGTGGTTTAATTAAAACAGGCATGCCTTTAGAGTTGTCAGCATTAAATATAATACTTTTATTCTACCTAGGTTTATTAAAAGTCAGATAAGTTCATGTTATCTCTGTTACAGAATTTGTCAGCAAGAAAAAGAATTTAACATGATGGTTAGCTGTTTAATGTCTCATGAAATTTTCTTGAGTAATCTAAACATAATTTTTAAGAAAAAGTAAATTAAATAGAGGTAAGATAAAATTTTAAAAATCCTCAAAAAACTAAAAATAGAGTTGCCATATGATCCAGCAATCCCACTCCTGGGCATATATCCAGACAAAACTATAATTTGAAAAGATACATGCACCCCTATGTTCATAGAAGCATTATTTACAATAGCCAAAACATGGAAGCAACCTAAATGTCCATCGATAGATGAATGGATAAACAATAAACAAGATGTGGTGTGTATGTGTGTATATATATATATATATATACACACATACACACACACATATATACATACACACACACACACACACACACAGTGGAATATTACTCCGCCATAAAAAAGAATGAAATAATGCCATTTGCAAGCAACATGGATGGACCTAGAGGTTATCATACTAAGTGAAGTAAGTCAGAAAGAGAAAGACAAATACCATATGATGTCACTTATATGTGGAATCTAAGATACAACACAAATGAAGATATCTACGAAACAGAAACAGACCCACAGATACAGAGACAGACTTGTGGTTGCCAAGGGGAAAGGGGCATGGGGGAGGGAAGGATTGGAAGTTTGAGATTAGTAGCTGCAAACTATTATATATAGGATGGATAAACGACAAGGTCCTACTGTATAGCACAAGGAACTATATTCAATATCCTGTGATAAACCATAACAGAAAAATATGAAAAAGAATACATATATGTAAAACTGAATCACTTTGTTATACAGCAGAAATTGACACATTATAAATCAATATACTTCAATACAATTTTTAAAAATTTATAACTGACCTTTTCAACAATAATTATGCTTCACAGTATGTCAACTTAAAAATAGGGCTTCCCTGGTGGCGCAGTGGTTGAGAGTCCGCCTGCCGATGCAGGGGACGCGGGTTCGTGCCCCGGTCCGGGAGGATCCCACGTGCCGCGGAGCGGCTGGGCCCGTGAGCCATGGCCGCTGAGCCTGCTCGTGCGGAGCCTGTGCTCCGCGACGGGAGGAGCCACGGCAGTGGGAGGCCCGCGTACCGCAAAAGAAACCAAACAAACAAACAAACAAAAAATAGTTTCCAGGGGGCTTCCCTGGTGGCGCAGTGGTTGAGAGTCCGCCTGCCGATGCAGGGGACAAGGGTTCGTGCCCCGGTCCAGGAAGATCCCACATGCCGCAGAGCGGCTGGGCCCGTGAGCCATGGCCGCTGAGCCTGCGCGTCCCGAGCCTGTGTTCCACAACGGGAGACGCCGCAGCAGTGAGAGGCTCGCGTACTGCAAAAAAAAAAAAAAAGTTTCCAGGAATTCCCTGGCAATCCAGTGGTTAGGACTCTGCGCTTTCACTGCCGAG